GCTACTTGGGAGGCTGAGGCAGGAGAATCGCTTGAACCCAGGAGGCAGAGGTTGCAGTGAGCCGAAATCACACCACTGCACTCCAGCCTGGGAAACAGAGCTAGACTCTGTCAATCAATCAAATAAAAAATAAAAAGACAGCTGGTCATCACTTCCTAAAAATATTACTGCTTCCAACTCTCCCTTTCCCCCAAATTCAGTATTTGAGATGGGAACCTTACCAAATCATCTGATGTAGCTTGTCTAGGTGATGCTGAGTTTGTGTGTTTTGAAGGAGGAAAAGGTAGGAGAGAGTGAAATGTGTTACAATGTAGTATCCTGACACTGGTGAAATATTGGCCAAATATCTCCATTAAAAACAGAACGTCATTTGCAAGTTTATTACCCTGCTTCACTAGTAGAAACACTAGTAATATACTTTACCTTTATTCATTAAATAGTTGCCCCTTCAATGACTATTATGCTTCAGGTCAGATTGTTCCCTAATAACTTTGTGTATCTTAGTGACAGACTTTAAAAAATGATCCAAAGTATCTCAACATTCAATATTTCCAAATTATTCAATCTTTCTAGGGAAGGAAGAGTTTAGATTTCTTCATACCTGGAGATTGTCTTTTTCTGCATCTTCTTGTGGATTCACTCTCTTGGAGAGAAAGTTTTGAAGCAACATTTAAAGATCTTGACTGCTCACTTGACTTTGTGGCAATGACTCTGAAGTTAGGGAAGTTGGGACTATTTTCTGGTGTATTATTAGCACTTTTCCTGCCTCTGCGTTTTCTACGAGGACTAAGCAATTCCACAAATACATCTGCTTGCAGTGGGCCATGACTGTGGCGAGTGGAACGACTGGCAATTCTTAAAGATTTTGTTTCTGTAGGAGGAGCAGAGCTTATCTTTCTTAGGCTTCTACCAGTTTTAGAAGAAACAGTTGTTTTGGGTGTGCTCTGCTGACTCCTTGAAGGGTATCTTCCAGGTTCTTGTCGCTGGCCACGACTTGAGAAAGAAGAGCTAAGTTTCCCTCTTGTTTTAACGGGCAATCTAACTTGTGGTCTTCCTCGTTTGGGTAGGCTATAAATATTGTTAGAAAACACAATTATTGTACAGAACAATGATGAACACATGATTAGCTTTATTCTCCTTGTTGTATTTAGCCAATGAGTTTATATAAATTTTCTATATAAACTGAGACTTATCCTAGACTCAATTCCTTGAAGAGTCAATAAGTTTTAAGTTTTCAAGGGAATCTAAAATGTGCTTTCATGTATTTCTTTGAAATGTGAAGAGAATTATCTGCAAAGAGAATATTTTATAGTTTCTTTTCTTTTTTTTTTTGAGACAGAGTATCACTGTCACACAGGCTGGTGTGCAGTAGCACGATCACGGCTCACTGCAGCCTGACCTCCCTGTGATCAGGTGCTCCTCCCATCTCAGACTCCTGAGTAGCTAGGTGTGCCCCACCATGCCTGGCTAATTTTTGTAGTTTTTTGTAGAGATGGGTTTTTGCTATGTTGCCCAGGCTGGTCTCAAACTCCTGGACTCAGGCGATCTGCCTGCCTCGGCCTCCCAAAGTGCTGGGATTAGAGGCATGAGCCACCATGCCCAGTTGATATCTTCTTGGTAACTTCAGGACATCATTATGAAAATTAAGTCCTAAATTCTGATAAATTGTAATAAAATGCTCAGGAGAACCAACAAATAGACTTAGTCAATCATATTGGAAAACTTAAAGAGTAATGAAGTAATCTTAAAATGAAATTCTTTTGTTTCTTTTTGCTACAGGAGACTACCACTTTTCATTATCATTGATACTGAGGTAACCTACAGTTTTAGCCAATGGCTGTCAATGAAGTGGGCCTTGAACCTGTGGTTCCTGAATACCACGCCAAGAACCTCTCTGTTGTCTTCTGATTCTGACTATAAAACTATATTTAATCTTTTAACTGTCCTTAATTAAAAGAATGCAACACCTCCATTAACTCATTATCCCTCTCCCCATATACCTGGACTTCCAGTTTATCCCATGTACTTGCAAGAATTTTCCACATTCTTTATTATCTTTATGCCTAACATAATATTGCCTTCACAAGCTACAGGAAAGATGGCTCTTCTAGCTGGTATTTCTTAAAACCTTGTTTAAAACAGATGTGGTGGCTCTATCTTAACTTCTACAACTGTGGTCCTTTTGTACTTTGACAGTTCTAGGTTGCCTTGCTTCATACTCATTTTCCTGCTTCCACAAGAATGGGGTTCAAATGTTTAAAAAACAACAAGCCGGGGGGAGGGGGATGATAAGAACAAGGAGCACAATGACTTCCCTTATGTGACTGGCTATGGTCAGGCCTGCTGACAGAAGACCCCTAGTAGATCTGTCTAGCTTATAGCTACCGGTTAGACATAGGCACACCTCATTATATATAGTGCTTTGGGCTTCACTGCATGCTACAATTATAAAGTTTTTCTTTTTTTTTTTTATTAAACAAACTGAAGGTTTGTGGCAATTCTGCCTCAAGCAAGTTTATTGGCATAATTTTTCCAACAGCATGAGCTCACTTTTTGTGTCTCTGTCAGATGACTGTTAGCATATTTTAGCAATACATTATTTTTAAATTAAGGCATAGAAATGTAAGACATAGTGCTACTGCACACTTAGGAGACTATAGTGTAATGTAAACATAATTTTTATATGCCCTGGGAAACCAAAAAAATTTGTAACTTGCTTTATTGCTGTGGTCTGCAACTGAAACAGCAATATCTTTGAGGTACGCCTGTATATCTACCTTGTGGATATAAATATCCCTTTATTTCAGCCCTCAACCAGAGGTTCAAGTAAGGGGAGACTGCCCCAGTGTTGCCACAGAAGGAATATCCAGGCTCCACACTCATTCACTAGGCCTGAATGACACAGCATGCTAAGCTGCAGAATACTTAGTTATATGGTAGTATAGAAGCTGTTTCCAGGTGCTAAGGTGGCAGAAGTATAAAAATACAGTGTGCTTCTTGGCATTTATCACTCTGAGATTCCCCAAATTATCAATACTCCCTTGGGAATATTTTTGAATGTTTATAATACATAAAAAGCAAAGGTAACTTCAGGCCACTATACGTTAGTTTTTTCGTTTGTTTGTTTTGAGATGGAGTCTCGCTCTTGTCACCCAGACTGGAGTGCAATGGCGTGATCCGTTAGCTCACTGCAACCTCCGCCTCCTGGGTTCAAGCAGTTCTCCTACCTCAGCCTCCCGAGTAGCTGGGATTACAGGTGCCCACCAACACCCTGGCTAATTTTTCTATTTTTAGTAGAGACAGGGTTTCACCATGTTGGCCAGGCTGGTCTCAAACTCTTGACCTTAGGTGATCTGCCTGCCTCGGCCTCCTAAAGTGCTGGGATTACAGGCATGAGCCACCGTGCCCAGCCTATGTATTAGTTTTAAACTAAGTTACAGACCCTAACTATTCCATTTGTATTTGAATAGTGGAGAAATTGTCTAACTAAGACCTACTGACTCATTTTATTACATGTTAGGACTTACCTGACTTCTTCCTCTTCTTGAGAGTCATCTTCATCTTGTTCTACCTCATACTCTTCCTCCTCACTTTGACCTTCTTCTTCATCACCATCAACTTCATCATCCTCACCTCCCATACTGTCTTCCACATCTTCATCACTTTCCAAGGATGGTCTCTGTCTAGAGGAGAGTCTTCTAGGACGTTGCTTTGGTCGACATTCTGGACAAAACCAATCTCCTTCAGGCACAGTCTGAACAAATCACATAAATGATCATTAATCATCTATTGCTCAAAATCTTAATGTCTCATTTCTAATCTGATAAGAAGAAAAAAATACCTTGAGCTTTGGTCGAACACAGTAGGTATGATGACCCCTATCACAGCCATCACAAAGAACCATGTTTTCAGCATCGCCTTTCTTTCTACATATCTTGCAGCGCGCATTCAGTATAGATTTAGACCAAATCACACTACGATCCAAGGTGGATAGGTGAAGAAAAACTTGGGACAGACTAGCAGAAGAAAGGAGAGACTCTCTCCAACGGTCCAGAATTGTTTTATAAGAACGCCCACTGTCACTGGCATCTTAAATGAAAAGGGAAAGTGATTACAATTTTTAGGCAAACCTAGTAATCTTCCTAGAAATAGCTGGTAAACACAGGTTAGATTTTACATTTCTTTTCTTCTGATACTTAACAAAAAGACCATGCTGATATTAAAAACAAAAATCTCATGGAAAATATTTGCTGAGCCACATCTCGTTTATGACATAAGGAATTACTTAAATTCATAAATCAAATGCTAAGGGATTTTAATAGCTAAAGAGAAAAATAATTCAGACAATGTGTTCTCAATCTAGTCTTTGTATCAAATCTTGATCTAATTTTAAAAACTGGTCACATATGAGTCCAAGTCTAAGTTACTATTCACTTGAATGAAGTATGTTACTTCCTCATCTCATAAAAGATGGACTGTTCTCCAAATTAAATATCTTCTATCTCTAAGAAAATAGTTTTAAAATTGTGGTAAGTAAAAACAATGTGAATACTACCAAAAAGGATTTTTCAGCACTAATATTTATATAGAAACATTTGAAACCTTCTGTCAGTCAACATCACCATTTATCTTCTGGGCTAAAAAATTTAATCATCTGATTAAATGCTATCAATCAATAGTCATTTTATACTGGTGTGTGATTTCCATTTCAATCTTCAATATTGTTACCACCTTACTGTTCCTAAAACATGCAAGGTATATAAGACTCCACACATAATCTTGTTCTATAATACCATTATTTCCTACTATTATCCTCAAATAAAACCTCTTGGGCAGTAGCATAACGGTTAAGAAAATGCAGGCTTTGGAGTCAGTCTGCTCTGGGGTGAGTACTGGCTCCCCCATATGAACTTGGGCAAGTTAACCCATCTGTCTCTCAGGTTCCTCAACTGTAATACATGGAGAGTATCTGCCTCTAAGAGTTGTTGGAAACATTAAATGAGATAATACGCATAAGGCATATGAAGTGTTTGTCAGAGTAAATGCTAATATTACTATCGTTATTTGTGCACAGTATACCTCCCCCTATGTGCGGCACTTTAGAAAATATGAAACTAGTCTATTCTATGGTCCCTATACTTCAAGGAATGTTTAGTACAGCTGGAAAAGTGAAGAAATACACGATGAGTTAAAACCAAGAGACCTGTCAAGTACCAATGGACCTCGAGCTCCTGTTTGCCTGTTGGGCAGGGTGAGATTGACAGGACATGAAAACTAGGGCCCATCTAGGTGGTTAGTCCCTCTCTAAAAAGCTAGGACCCCAGAAGGCTACCCCCTTCAAGTGTCAGGGTGGAAACAGGTGCTACATAAAAAAATGGAGAGCAAGAAAATTGATTCACCTGGACTTTGGTGTTGGATAGAAAGGGAACATAATCTCCCTGAGGATCAAGCAAAGCCTTGAACAGGTTTAAAACCGAAAAAACATAGGCTAAGATTTTAAAGTAGTCTAGGGTTGCTAGTGACCTCAAGTGAATGGCTGAAACAAGTACAATTTTTTGCAAATTCTCTCTGAAGACATTTTCAGATCAAATCTGAGGAATGAGAGTTAATCAAAACCACAAGGCACATGTGGAAACAAGACACTAAGTGAAAGCCAGCAGAATCAAACTCATAAAGACTTCAGATACTAGAATTAGAAACAGAATATAAAATAACTGTTTAATATGTTTTAAGAAGTTTAAAATATGAATAACCAGGCAGTTTGAAAAAGAACCAGTTAGAACTTTTCAAAATGATTGAGACTAAAAACTGAGGCAAAAACACGATGGATGAGTCAAATGGCTCTTCAAAGCTGAGATGTTAATGAAGTTGGGAAAATACAAATATATTACTTAGAATGCAGCATCAATATTTTTCTGTCTTTACGTTGTTTTGTTTTAGGTGTGTCTTTTGTAGACAGTATATAAAACCAGCTAGATTTTATGTTAATACAGTCTTTTCTTCTATTTTCTTCACTTTCCTTGTCAACTATCCAAAACTGTATCTAACTTTTAATTGGAGCCAGATATGGTAGCTCTCACCTGTAATTCCAGCACTTTGGGAGGCTGAGGCGGGTGGATCACATGAGGCCAGGAGTTTGAGACCAGCCTGGCCAACACGGTGAAACCCCATCTGTACTAAAAATACAAAAATTAGCCAGATGTAGTTGCAGATGCCTGTAATCTCAGCTACTTTGAAGGCCGAGGCAGGAGAATGGCTTGAACCTGGAAGGCAGAGATTGCAGATTGTGCCACTGCACTCCAGCCTAGGTGACAAGAACAAGACTCGGTCTCAAAAAATATGTATATATAATAATTGGAGAGTACAGTCCACTTAAATGCATTTGATTTATTTCTCCCCTCTCATTGTGAGAGTTTTAGTTATCTTAGTTTTTAAAATGTAAGCCTTCATGAAAAGTTCTGGCCTGAGCAGGGCCTCCAAGGAATGAGGTAGCAAGAATAGCTAGTTCAAAGATCATGATCTTCCTGGGTAAATCAGAGAATATTCTCATTGGTAATGGCAAGGAATAAGGTTGCAGAGGTCAATGTGAAGGAATGGGAACAAAGACAAATTATAAGAACTTTTAGAATCTTGGAAATTAGTTTGAATGATTTTTTAATGAAAAGGTTGGTGAAATGCTATGGGATTTGATTAACGAGATGGTTTAAGAAAATTAAACCAGCAGTAGCTCAAGGCCCAATTCTTATTCTAGTCCATAATGAATGTGCCTGTTTTTCTGTGTTTGCATAGTACTGATACAAGGATAGAAAACAGTATATACAATTGATTCAATTTTTCTGTTGTTTCCTTATCTTAAACCTTGCTTTTCCCCCAGATTACACAACCATAAAGGGCAGAAAATGTCTTGTTTATCTTTTATTTTCCATTATGCTAGCACAGATAAATTCCTCAATAAATTAAAAGGATCTTACTAATATAAAATATTGGCAGTCACGTGATCAAATATTATAGTAGGAGACTTCATACTGTTCAATGGCCACTATACAGTAATCCATGTGACCAGGACAGGCTTCTCTAGGGGACAAAACATAATAACTCTTGTCCTATGTCTCTTCAAGCTAGTAAAAGAAAAAAAATGCTGTGAATAAATACTTTATGTGAAACAGGTAAACATAAGTTCCACAGTCATTCATTCTTTTCACTGATAGCTAAGTATACAAAGATTCACCAGTGTCAGCTTTCTGTATGCCAATTTAGAAGAGTGATTAGCTGAGGTGTGAAACATAGAAAGGGAAACGCTAGGAAGATATTATTTTAAGCTTACCCCCAAGTCCATTCCCTTCCAAAAAAATCAAATCCAAGGTTTTCCTTCAAAAGCTAAATATGCAAATGAGTACTCAGCCACAGAGAAAGTAAAATCATAATTCTTTAAAAAGACAAAACATAAATTTCTTTAAAAAGTTAAAAATTTACCATCTCTCACACTAGATTGATCTTCCTCTCTCTTTTTCTTGTCCTTTTTTTTTCTATCTCCCTTTTGATCCTTATTAATTTCTGTGTTACCTAATTTCAAATTGATATAGTTAGTTGAGGATTTTTTTTTTATAGCTTAAGGGTTTAACCATAAGTATGACTTTAAAAATAACGGAATTATCAATCTTAAAAAACATCCTCATGTATCTTACCTAAAACATTTAAAACATTTTATCTTCCCCAAATGAAAAGTCTACTTTTATCAGTATGATTAATCTCTAGAATAAAAGGGACATATTAGAGAAGGTAGAACATAAGTAGAATTTGTATTTCTTACATGCTTCCTCAAGAAACTGAAATGATTTCTGAAGCTAAATTGGGAAAATGCTTGCTATGATTAATTTGCTATCCTGAAATATTATCAGGTGAATGGAGAATTTCAATATATATTCCATCTCAAATATTCATAAAGTAAAACCTGCTTTTCTCTCCCCAATTAATGATATTCTTGATTACTTTATTTCAGATAGCCTATCTCCATCTCCTGCTGTCCTGTGCAAAACAGACCTTTCAAAGGCTTAAGTTATTCTAATTTTTTATGGAGCATCAACAGTAGACACCCATATTATAAATGACCAACATTTGACTTCAACCAATATTTAACTTTGACACTACCAAAGTAACCAACTTTTCTTACTTCACTTATTTCTTAAGATCTTGAATTATAATTTTCCATCTTTTGGGATGAAATTAATGTTTGAAAACCACTGTATACAAACCAGCATAAGGAACAGTCTCTCTCATATAACCTACTAGACAAGTTGTAACAACTCTCAGTATTAACCTGTTTGTCTAAATATTTAATAAGTTGTGCAGATGAAAATACAGACATACTAAACAATTAATTTGATATTCCCCCCTTCGACTTATAAAAAACTTTAATGAAAATTTCAGAAGTGGGAAAATAAGCAGTATTGTGTCTTATCCTTTTACTGTTTTGGAATCGCAGTGTTAGTAGTAACAGTATCTTACATTTATAAAAGCTGAATGATTTACAAATAATTTTAAATTGAAATTTTAATTTAGGTAATTGTGTATTAATATGGGGTTGTAATAAATACAGAGTGATCCCTTGTACATAAAGGATCAGAAAGAAAATAAGAAATGCTAAAGACTGGGAAATAAAAGTGACATAGCAAATACCAACTCTGCTGTCTTTGGGAGCTGTGATTATACATATTTTATTTCTTACAATTGCTACTTTCAATGTGGCCAGTAGGTTATTAAGCTTATGGTAGGATTATCAGTTTACAAAAGTGTGAATAGACTTAATGAGATACTGGCCACAAACTCTTCAATTTAAAAAGTTTACAAATATATTTACATTTCAAAACTGCTCTGATTGCATTGTCTATCAATACTTTGTTCTAATACTCAATGAGATATCAAAAAATTATTATTTTTATATTTTTATTTTTTTGAGACAGTTTCTCTCTTGTTGCCCAGGCTGGAGTGCAATGGTGTAGTCTCAGCTCACTGCAACCTCTGCCTCCCAGGTTCAAGCGATTCTCCTGCCTCAGCGTCCCAAGTAGCTGGGATTACAGGCACATACCACCACACCCACCTAATTTTGTATTTTTAGTAGAGACGGGGTTTCACCATGTTGGTTAGGCTGGTCTCAAACTCCTGACCTCAGGTGATCCACCTGCCTCGGCCTCCCAAAGTGCTGGGATTACAGGCGTGAGCCACCACTCTCAGCTAAAACAATTATTTAAGGATTTTAGTCAATTCAAGTAGTTCTTTCAATATGAGACCAAAAAGATACGGTTTAAGAAAGTTATTTCTTCCATGATCCCATTACAAGAATATAAATATCTCAACATGATGAGTTATAAATTAAACATCTCAAAAAGGCAACAGGGAATTAGAGACAGTTATTATATAAACATTGATTTAGAATTCTGAAACAGATATTTTCCCAAAAACATGATTAGGTTCCTAGATTAGTCCCTAAAAACCCACTAATTTCATAATTTGTGAAAAAGTGATACAGATAGTATTATTCCTCACTATAAATTATACAGCATTTCCTCACCCGTGTTCCGTTTAACACTTAGTATTTCTGATTTAGCATGTGGGTCAGTGACTCTTATCATCAAATTATGCCCCAAATGGTAAACTTTTAAGTCACTTACTTCGGGTTCTCTTTCAAATAACAGGAAAAAAAAAAGTTACACATAATCTTTGATTATTCAAGGTCTGACTAGTTATAGGTTTTGGTGATCTTTTTTTTCTTTTAAAGAGACAGGGTCTTACTCTGTCACCTAGGCTACAGTGCAGTGGTGTGGTCACAGCTCATTGTAACCTCAAATTCCTGGGTTCATGGGATCCTCCCACCCCAGCCTCCGGACTACAGGTGCACGCCATGATGCCCAGCTAATTTTTTAAAAAAATTTTGTAGAGATAGGGTTCTTGCTATATGATGCCCAGGCTGGTCTCAAACTCTTGGGCTCAAGCAATTCCGCCTCAGCCTCCCAAAGTGTTTAGATTACCGGCATGAGCCACTGTGCCTAGCTGGTAATCTTTCTTTTGGTGAAACTCTTCACAAAAGACTGTATTACTCTAAAAATAAATCTCACCTTAAAAGAACTCATTTAAAAATGAAAACATCTCGAGTTTTTAAGATTATCAGTTTCATTAGGTCAGACAATAAAATTCTATTAAAGGCCAACTCAAAATTACTTATAACACAACTAATATTTTGAAATAAAAACAGATACTTACCAAGTGGAGCTTTCAGAAAACGCCGCTCAATGCCCTGCTCTATTTGAAAGAGTGCCATTGCCAGATAATGAACCACACTGCTCACTGACTGTGGTGTACTTGCATTCGTTGATACAGTACTTGGAGTTTCTGTTTTTATCCCCAAAAGTCTACAATTAAAACAATTCAGAGTTTATGGTACTTAAAAACACTATTAGGTAAAACTTGAGTCCATTCATTGGTTCAAATGCTTATTTATACCATTGTAAAAAAATCATTTCCTCAGTCTCAAGGAGTTGCAGTAAACAGTAGGGAAGGGAGATTCATTTAGAAGGACTAAGGGTAAATATTTGAAGGAGAGAGAGAAGAGGGAAGGCTTATAGGAAAGGTTTTAGAGAGGTGACATTGTGATGGGCCTTAAAGCCTAAGTATTTCAGGCAGCTTATCTCTATTTCTCGTTTTGCTTTTTTTTTTTTTTTTTTTGACACACAGTCTCACACTGTTGCCCAGGCTGGAGTGCAGTGGCATGATCTCAGCTCACTGCAAGCTCTGCCTCCCAGGTTCACACCATTCTCCTCAGTCTCCTGAGTAGCTGGGATTACAGGCGCCCGCCACCATGCCTGGCTAATTTTTTGTATTTTTAGTAGAGACAGGGTTTCACTATGTTGGCCAGGCTGGTCTCGAATGCCTGACCTCATGATTCACCCGCCTTGGCCTCCCATAATGCTGGGATTACAGGTGTGAGCCACTGCACCTGGCCGAAAATGATCATTTTAAAGTGCAAACTCATTCACTCAAAGCCTTTGTACATGGTTTTTCTTCCCAGTGTCCTATTTTTCTCAACTTTAGGGCTCAGCTTTGCAGTCACTTCCTCTTGCACTTCCTTTACTGTCTCCCATGTTCCACTAACACAAGTAGCCCGCCCATTTACTTCATTTGCACTGGGTATAACCTTCTGTCAGAACACCGTTCTAGTAAATATAATGCTAGCCTCATGTTTCTCCATTGTTCCCTTCTAGATGACAAATTGCTTAAAGGCATATAATATCCAAAATAATCTTGAAAAAAATAAAAGTATCTACAGATATAAGGTATAGATTCTGATTAGTAATAATATTTAATACATATATTAGAGATGAGGTCTCATTGTTGCTCAGGCTGGAGTGCAGTGGCACAATCATTATTAGCTCACTGCAGCTTTGAAGTCCTGGGGTACAACAATGGAATAGATGGGACTACAAGTGCATGCTGATCAGGCGTGGTGGCTCAGGCCTATAATCCCAGCACTTCGGGAGGCTGAGGCAGGTGGATCATGGGTCAGGAGATCAAGATCATCCTGGCCAATGTGGTGAAACCCTGTCTCTACTAAAAATACAAAAATTAGCTGGGCATGGTGGCACGTGCCTGTAATTCCAGCTACTTGGGAGGCTGAGGCAGGAGAATTGCTTGAACCAAGAAGTAGGAGGTTGCAGTGAGCCGAGATTATGCTACTTTACTCCAGCCTGGCAACAGAGCAAGACTCCGTCTCAAAAAACAACAACAACAACAAAAACCAAATGCATGCCACCATGCCCAGCTAATTAAAAAAAAAAGAGACAGGGTCTCACTATGTTGCCCAGGCTGGTCTCCAACTCCTGGCCTCAAGTGATCCTCCTGCTTCAGCCTCCCGTGTAGCTGAGACCACAGGCCCCAGCCATCTTGCCTAGCTCAAATAATACTCAAGTCTACCAGAATTTACTAAGTTTTCCTATAGAAAAGAAGAATGATAGTATAATTACTTTCCGAAATTAATAAAACCTTAAGTTCAAAGATTAAAAAAAAAAACTTTTGAGAAATAATCATTATTTAAATGAATTGTCTTTTGGTTGCAATAGTACAGAGTGGAGTAACAGAGATCCTGAGGTTTAGAAAATGATCATTCCAGTGGTTACAAATATCAAGGTCCTCATGACAAGTTTTTAAAATAAGAAAAAGCAACATATTTACTTAAAAAAAATAAACAAACAAACAAAAAAACCCTTAAAATGGCAAGGAAAAGTAATGGTTACTTTAGAAAAACCCTTTTGTACCTGTCTTTTACTATGACCTTTGTTTGTTCATCAATTTCCATCTCTTCTACGTCTTCATTCACAGTTTTAATTATCCCATTTTCCTTGTTTTCCTCACTTAATAGCTCATACCGTCCACTTTCTAATGCTGATCTCCAGATATATCGATCTGTAACCTGTAACAAAATTCAAACTTACTAACCATGAAAAATGGAATATACTGTTTCTGAGAGGTATGAAGTTCAATATGCATATAAAATCAATTCATGGATATTTTAGAAATGATTATGAATCAAAAAGGTATCTAAAAATAAGGTTACTAAGTGGCCAAACTGGAATTCATATTCTTCATAGATGAAAACCATACTACCTTACTTTCTGTATAAATAAATCATAAACAGTTCTAAGATTGGTCACTTGATAGCAGCAAAAAAGTGATAGATGATGGCCAAGGCATGAACAGAATACGTTATAAGCCATGAATTACAGATTTTTAAAAGGTAACAAAGAAACGAACCAATCAACCAGACTCAGCGGAGAAGGCAGGGGCTAGTCAAGGAAGAAGAAAATATCCTTACACATTTCAACATCTGATGAAAATATCAGAAAAAATATTTTGATGCAGGGGAATAAACAAGTTTTCATAAAAAGTTTATCATTCTCTGGTGTTTATTCAAAACACATATGCCTTGTCTATGCCATATAATTAAAAAATATGACCAAAATTCTGGACCAAGTAGGTTAGACAAACTAAAAATGGGAACAAGTACAAACCTTAATTGCTCCTAATGTTCCTTGGTAGATTCTATCTTCAATATCTAAAAGAAAATCTCTCAGCCTTAGTTCAAGTTGCTTTTCTGCACACATTTGAGATGGATCATATGCACTGGAAGATCTTCCCCGACTGTATGTTGGTTTGCTATCAGGCTGAGGTTTGTCTGAAACAGTAAATACTTTTATTATGATTTTCTTATTAAAAACTACAATTACTCCATGTGGCTGTTATGATCTTGAAATAATGGATATAAAAGTGCTTTGTAAATCCTCAAGTGCCACAAATGAATGAATATCATTTATCTTATAAAGCCCTTGTACGGCTACTCAGGAGGCTAAGGCAGGATTGCTTGAGCCCAGGAGTTTGAGTCTGCAGTGAACTATGATATGCCACTGCAATCCAGCCTGGGCAACAGAGCGAGACTCTGTCTCTAAATAAATAACTAAAGCCCTTGTATCCAGAATATATAAAGAACTCTTACAGCACAATAAAAAGACAACCCAATTTTAAAATGGGCAAAGGATCTGAATAGCTATTTAAGGAAGATATACAAATGGCCAATGAGCACATGTAAAAGATGCTCAACACTGGCCAGGTGCAGTGGCTCACGCCTGTAATCCCAGCACTTTGGGAGACCAAGGCGGGTGGATCACCTGTGAGGTCAGGAGTTCGAGACCAGCCTGGCCAACATGATGAAACCCCATCTCTACTAAAAATACAAAAAATTAGCTGGGCGTGGTGGCAGGCGTCTGTTATCCCAGCTACTTGGGAGGCTGAGACAGGAGAACACACTTGAACCCAGCAGGCAGAGACTGCAGTGAGCCCAACAGCCTGGGCAACAAAAACGAAATTCTGTCTCAAAACAAACAAACAAACAAAACACCCCAAGAATTGTGATCTACAGTTTTTAATCCTGAAAAAAACTGAAGTGGTCATGGTAACATGCCCCTAAATTTAAGCAATTGTTTTTTAAATTTTGATTTAATTTAAAATGTTTTTAGCTCTATTTTCTCCCCCACAGGAAACAAGTAAACAATTCTTTACCTAGAGAATCTCATTTATTAATATAAAAACTCACATCTAAAAATGCCTTACTGCTTTTTCTTATTTGTCATCAGTGGACAAACCATCAAGCAGGCAATGCTGCTATCCGACCTGCCCTTGCAGCCAAGCTTCAAAGAAGTGACCATTAGTGGAACTTCTCCTTGGACTCTCAGCCAAAACCCTTAATGAGTAACCTCACTCACCATAATCTGTCCAAAACTGATGGCAGCCTTAGAGTCTATTCTTGGATTTCAGAGTCTACTGACCAAGGAATAAGGAGATCAGGGAGGATATGTATTTTGTTATACCATAGATGTGTTCCTCATAATTCAAATAGAACCCAGTGGAATTTAGATAATCTTGTTTCTATAAAGAAATACATTCCCAAACTCTAACTTGCAAACTAAAAGGATAGCCTAAATCAAAGATAAGGTGCTGTAAATGTATATCTAATAGCTTGAAAAAATGCTTAATCCTGAATGACCAGAGATTAGGGGGAAGAAAAAAAAGTAAAAACAATTTTCATTGAAAATTTACCTGAAAAATGAAATTTCTCTTCAGAAAAACGGGCTAGCTGTGCACATATTCTGCTTTTCTCTTGTAACAAAGTTTCTTTTAAGGCACTTTCTCTATGTCCTCTAGAATTAAGAGCTTCAATAAGCTGGTCTAGCTGTTCACAAGAACTGTAAAAGCACCACCGATTTGGCTTATGCACTGGTTTTGGCAGCTGCACAGAATGGTCACGTGGACCTTGCTCAATGTTGGAGGTAGATTCAGACATCAAAGGCTCTCCAGTTTTAGTGGATACCTGAGGATCTTGAGACTGTACATTATTCTGAAATGATGAAGGTCTAGGCAACAGCATGTCTTCAGTAAGACCAGAATAATCCTCTTCAATAAAGAGTCCAGGAATAGAAGGGAAAATCCAGTATCGTCTATACATGCGGTCACGACCCAGGGGAAAGATATTGGTACAGGCTATGGCACTTTGGATTTTTTCTAAGAGCTCTTTCTCTTTTCGTTGGTGTTCCTGTTTTAATGCTTCATCCTCTTCAGCAGTAAGAGGCTCTCTTGTCACACAGTTGATCTCTTCTTGCCTTGTAAATTCTTTAAATCCATTTTGTCCTCTTTTCCCTGTAGTTAAAATAAAATGTTTCATCATCATCATATTTCAAGTTTCCATTAGAAAAATATGAGATACAAAGTTACCCCAAGTTATTAGGTGTTATAGACTAAACTGTGTCCCCTCTCCACAACCCAAGTTCATATGTTGAAGCCCTAACCTCCAATGTGACTGTATTTGGAGACAGAACTTTTAAGGAGGTAATTAAGATCATAAAGGTGGGGCCCTAATCCAACATGATTGATGTTCTTAAAAGAACAAGAGACGCGAGAGATCTTGTTCTCTGACATGCACAGAGAAAAAGCCACGTAAGGATATAGCAAGAAGGCACTGTCTGCAAGCCAAGAAAAAGCCTCTTCAGACACTAACCCTGCTTGATCTTGGACTTCCAGACTCCAGAACTGTGAGAAAACAAATTTCTGAAATTTCTGTTGTTTAAGGCACCCCAGTCTGTGGTATTTCGTTATGGCAGCCCAAGCAGACTAATACTCTATGTTATTAAGAAATCAATATACTTAAATCTAAAGGGGCACAAAAAATCTGTAATTTCCATACTGGAGAGTGCAGTAGAGTATGTTAGTTATCCTCCAGTAGTCATCCCAGTCCTTCCTCTAAGGGAGGAATAACAGCAAACTACTTCTGGAGAAGACCAGCTTATAAATATTTGTCTTTGTGGATCTTTTGGTCTTCACAGCTATTCAATTCCACTGTTGTGGCCCAAAAGCAATCACAGGCAACATGTAGACAATCAGCATGGCTGTGGTTCAATATAACTATTTATGGACAGTGAAATCTGAATTTCATATAATTTTCACTTATCACAAAGTATCATTCTTCTTTTTTCCAGTCATTTAAATTGTAAAAATCCAGCCGGCGCAGTGGCTCACGCCTGTAAATCCCAGAACTTTGGGAGGCCAAGGTGGGCGGATCACCTGATGTCAGGAGTTCTTGACCAGCCTGGCCAACATGGTGAAATCCCATCTCTACTAAAAATACAGAAATTAGCTGGGCGTGGTAGCAAGCACTTGTAATCCCAGCTACTCAGGAGGCGGAGGCATGAGAATCGCTTGAACCCAGGAGGTGGAGGTTGCAGTGAGCCAAGATCATGCCACTATACTCCAGCCTGGGGGATAGAGTGAGACTCTGTCTCCAAAAAAGGGGGAAAAGCCTTTTTAGCTTATGAGTTATACAAAAACAGGGCAGGGCAGGGCCGGGTCGGGCACAGTGGCTCACATCTGTAATCCCAACACTTTGGGAGGCCGAGGTGGCTGGATCACTTGAGGGCAGGAGTTTGAAACCAGCCTGGCCAACATGACAAAACACATCACTACTAAAAATACAAAAATCAACCAGGTGTGGTGACATGCACCTATAATCCCAGCTACTCGGGAGGCTGAGGCAGAAGAATCGCTTGAACCCAGAAGGTGGAGATTGCAGTGAGCCGAGATGGCACCACTGCACCCCAGCCTGGGTGACAGAGCGACACTCCACCTCAAAAAACAACAACAACAAAAATGAGGCCGGCCAGATTTGGCATACAAACTGTTATTTACTAACCACTGGTTGAAGGTAACAGAACCACTAGTTTTCAGCTGGGCACTTAGCAACCCAAAAGAAGGACAACATTTCCCAGAGTAGGCACAACCAAACAAAAAACTTTTGTTCAAAGAGATGGGATCAGAAGCATTGTGTGTACCCTCTGGACTGTGCTTCCCTTTCCTCCTTCCCACTTCCAACTAGCTAGAATGCAGACATGGTGATAAATCATTTTGGAACATGAGAATGGCAGCAAAACCCTAAGGATGGCAGTACCAACAAGACAGAAAGAGCTTGGACCCCTGATAATCTGCCTTGACTACGACAATATGTTGGAATTAAATTTCTCTGTTGTTTCAGTTGCTGTCAAATTGCTTTGATAGTTGGGAAGTATTTTTTCATTCTATTTCTTTTGCTTGAGTTTGTGTAAGACTGGAATTATCTGCTTTTTTAAAAATTTGGCAGAATTCACCTATAAAGTTGTCTAGGACTGATGTTTTCTCTGCAGAAAGATTTTAGTACTGATTCAAGTTCTTTAATCGTTTAAGACCATCTACATTAACAAATTTCTTCATAAATCCATTTTGATAATTTGTATTTTTCTAGGATTTTATTTTTGCTATATTTCCAAATGCATCAAAAAATTGTGTATTATCTCCTTATCTTTAAGTTTCTACTCTATCCATAGTTAATGTTGCTCCCTTTCAGTCCTAACTTTATTATGATTGCCATCTTTATAAAAATCAGTTTCAACAAAGGTTTGTCTCGTTTGTCTTTCTCAGAAGAACACGCTTTTAGATTTGTTATTGTTCTTTACTACATTTTTATTTTTTTAAGAAAGGGTCTTCCTCTGTTGCCCAGGCTGGAGTGCAGTGGCACAATCAGGGCTCACTGCAGCCTTGATCTCCCAGGCTCAAGCGACCCTCCCACCTTAGCCTACTGAGTAGTTGGGACTACAGGTGCATGCCACCATGCCCAGCTTGCTTTTTGGGTACTTTTTGTAGTGATGGGGTTTCACCATGTTGCCAAGGCCGATTTTGAACTCCTGGGCTTAAGCAATCCACCTATCTTGGCCTCCCAGAGTGCTGGGATTACAGGTGTGAGCCACTGCACCTGGCCCTACTATATTTTTATTTTCTATTAATTTCTACTCTGATGTATTATTTCCTTCAGACTTAGGGGGATTATTCTTTTTCTCCCACCATCTTCTTAAATAAATGTCTAGCTGAGTTTGTGTTTCTTCTTTTCTAATATGTATTAAAGGTATACATTTTCCCCTAAGTAGAGGGGCTGTATTCAGCAAGTGTTAATATTCAGTAATCTTTAGTTTGATTCATTTTAAATATTTTTTAGTTTCCATTATAGTTTATCTTTTGACCCAATATTTAGAAGTCTGTTTTAAAACTCTAATCATATTAGGTTTGCTTTAGATTTTGAAATCAATTGCATTGTAATCAGACAATACAGCTTCCATGATAAAGGAAATTTTCCATCTACTTAGAGTAACCATTTAGAAAAAAATACAGAAAAAAGATCCCATCCAAATTACAGGCACAGAATTAACTTAAGGATTTCTTTTGATAGTCATTAAATAAGGTTGGTTAAGGATCCTCAAAAGAAATTTGTATTAACAGCTTTTAAAAGATGTATTCGCTTTGATCTAGCAATTTATGAAATAATTTTAAGGTAGGAGAGAGTTCCACTTTCATCAATATGATACAAATTATGAGCATTATTGATCTTTATATCTCTAGTACATAGGAGGCATCCAATGCATGCTGAATGAGTACATTATAGAATGCAAATTTCTATTTGGCCCAAATAAAGTAGTAAATGTAAAAATTCAATGCAACTTGCTGACTAACCAAAAGTTAAAGTTATCAGAAACTGTCCTATTAAAGACATAGGAATATTATCTCTTTTTTCTTAAGTATAGATGATGTGTAAATAATGACCCAATCATAAATGTACTAATAGGACTTCATAACACATTTTACAACTCATCACAGCTATAAGGTGGGCATTTAAAAAAAGAAAAACACAGCCTGGAATCACGAACGAAAGCAATCAATATATTTCAGAGGAGCTGAATTAATAAAGTGCTTTATCAGTTAAAAACAAACAAACAAGAATGCTCTTAAGGAATTTCAGTATTACCCCTTCTGCCTCTTTTATGTGATCCTGGGTCATCTTCATCTTCCGTGACCATATCTTGATCTAATTCCTTTTGCTCTGTGTCTTTGCTCTCAGTGCTAGTATCAAAATCTTCCCTTTCTTCCTCCCTTAAGGATAAAAACAAGGATGACATTTACTAATGAATATATAATTCCATTTATGAAATATTTATTGCTTGCTTACGAAGTCCCGGGCATATGCTTAGGAGGTAGTGAACAACATGACACAGTTTATGGTCTTGCAGAGAAAACAGATAATTACACAAATCATTTAAAAAATATGTAATAAGTACTAAAACAAGAGCAGTTCAAGGTATTATGAAAACATTTCAAGGAGAATGAAACTGACTCTTAGGGATCAAAAAGGCTGGCTTGAAGAAGTGACATTTTACAATTTGAGACCAGGGAGATGGGGAGGAGTGTGTGCTACAGAGGAATAACATACACAATGGAACAGAACTCAAGAGAAACAGGAGGAGCTTATAATTTTGAGAAAAGTGTAACGGAGAAAGCAGTAATCCAAGAGGCAGATGAGAGAAAAAGGCAGGGTGAGAGCAGGCTAGGCCTTGTAAGGCCTTATCCAAAAAACAATAGGAAAAAACCAGAAGAATTTAGAAAGGGAAATGGTATTAGAAAGTACTGTAGCCACTGTGTGAAAAATTACCTGGGAAAGAAAGTAGATGAGGGGCCAGTAATAATAGTAACAGATCAGTAGTGGTCTAGGTGGCTGGCTAGGCGGTGATGGTGGCTTAGAGTAGGAAGGAGAGAAGATGACAAATAGTGGAAGAGAGAAATTCAGAAATAGTAAACAGGCAGAATGAACACAACACAGCTGTTTAATTCATTATGTTATCCAAATTAAAACTAAAATTATATGAACCTTGAAATAAATTACACTATTATGTTCTAAATCCAAAGTTGGGTTTTGCAAGCTCTACTGTAAGGACAGCCAGGGATAATGTAAATGAGTGGGGCTGAATGAATATTTAAAAAATATGAAGATGTGAAAGCCATACAATGTTACTTTTCTTATATACTGAGCTTATATACCATAACAATCACCATTTTAAAGTGTATAATTTAGTGGTCTTTAGTGTATTCACAAGGTTACACAATCATTACCACTGTCAATTCCAGAATACTTTCATCATACCAAAAGGAAATGCCATATCCATTAGTAGTCATTTCCCATTTCCTCTTTCTTGCTGCCCCTGGCAACCATACATCTACTCTCTACTGATTTGCTTATTCTGGACATTTCGTGTAAATGGAGTCATATAACATATGGTCTTTTGTCACTAGCTGCTTTGAGATAGAATCTCACTCTGCTGCCCAGGCTGGAGCACAATCTCGGCTCACTGCAACCTCCGCCTCCAGGGCTCAAGCAATTCTCCTGCCTGTACAGGTGTGTGCCACCATGCCTGGCTAATTTTTCGTATTTTTAGTAGAGACAGGGTTTCACCATGTTGGCCAGGTTGGTCTCAAACTCCTGACATCAGGTGATCCGCCCGCCTCAGCCTCCCAAAGTGCTGGGATTACAGGCGTGAGCCAGTGCGCCCGGCTGTAACTAGATTCTTTAGCATACATTTTCAAAGTTCATCCACATTATAGCCTGCATTAGAACTCCATTCCTTTTTATTGTTGAATAATATTCTCCTGTATGGACACACTATGGAAGAGATATACCATTTGTTTATGCATTCATCAACTGGTGGACATTTGGGTTGTTATCACTCTGGCTATTAAGAATAATGCTGCTATGAACACTTGTGTATACATTTTTGGGTGAAGGTATGCTTTTAATTCTCTCAGGAATATACCTAGGAGTGCAATTGCTGGGTCATACAGTAACAAATGGTTTAATTGTTTGAAGAACTGTCAAACTGTTTTCCAAAGTAACTGGATCATTTACATTCCCACAAGCAATGTATGAGAGTCTTGATTTCTCAACTCCTCATCAAAACTTGTTATTGTTTGTCAATTTGATTATAGCCAGCCTACTAGGTGTGAAGTGTTATGTTACTGTGGTTTTGATGTACATTTCCCTGATGATTAATGATGTTGAGCATCTTCTCACGTACTTATTGCATATCTTCTTTGGAGAAATGTCTATTCAAATCCATTGCTCACTTTTTAATTGGGTTGTTTTAAAAAATTGTTTTTTCTTTTTATTATTTCTTTATTTTTTGACATTTAAAAAATTAACTCCCTATTCTGAATCTTTCAATTTTTTATTGATGAGTTGTAAGAATTCTTTTATATTCTGGATACAAATCCCTTATCAGATACACGATTTGCAAATATTTTCTTCTATTGCGAGTTTGTGACCTAAGATCTTAAGGCTTATTAATGGGTATTTTTACACACAAGTATTAAAAAGTCAAAGTCAATATACTAATTTTGAAATATTGAGTTTCTTCAGAACTTTCCTTTGTAGATTTCATTAAAAAAGAAAAAAGATGATTTCTGTCAAATTCTTACTTGTTTTCATAGACAGTCCTATCTCAAATATTCTAAAATGCAATAAAATACTTTGGTATCTCTAAATTATTTAAGGTGCAGTCATCCTCTCCCTATATCATCTAATCTCAAAAAACATCCAATCTCAACCCTGTTCTTCTATATGGTGCAGAATAACTATGAAATACAGTATACACCTGCGATACTGGTGGAAGGGAGAGAGAAATATATTATTGGTTAAAAATAGCCTATTGAGTGTTTTTCTGGGAAGTTATCATGTACCTATAATAAAAGACAACTTTTCTAAAAATCTGAGAGCATTTTTAGAGTTTAACGTGTCTGGTTTTTATTCTTTATGTATGGTAAAGCAGATGAACAGTGTGATTCACACCATACCCAATAGATGTATCTGCCGTTGAATTTCTTTGCTCATCTTCTTTCAGTTTTTCTTGTTTCTCTTTCAGTTTTTGTTCTTGCTCCTTAAGTTTTTCTTCCTTCCTTTTACGAATTCTAAAAGTTAAAATGAAATATGGTAGGCTATCTGATGCACATATACTTTTCACTTTTAGCATCTTGTCTTTAATCAAATCATGGAAAGTACTCCAAACATTATTATAAAACTATAATGTAGTAATCATTCATAAGCTTTTTTTTTTCTTTTTTTTTTCTTCTTTTTTTCTTTTTTTGAGATGGAGTCTCGCTCTGTCACCCAGCCTGGAGTGCAGTGGCCAGATCTCAGCTCACTGCAAACTCCGCCTCCCAGGTTTACGCCATTCTCCTGCCTCAGCGTCCCGAGTAGCTGGGACTACAGGCGCCCGCCACCTCACCCGGCTAGTTTTTTGTATTTTTTTAGTAGAGACGGGGGTTTCACCGTGTTAGCCAGGATGGTCTCGATCTCCTGACCTCGTGATCCGCCCG